AACATAGCTGGACTGAATTGGCATTGTCTCTTGGAGTTCCTTGGGCTAGGCCTGACAACTACAGAGGAAGGGCAGCAAAGAACCAGAGCACTGCAAAGGAGAGAATATGTGTGTGTGTTTTGAACGTAGTGGGTGTTCATAGAAGAGCATGGAGGGGCCCTTCATGGTGGAGCTCCTTGGGTGACTTTGAGCCAGTCGCATTCTCTCAATACAGCTTATCTCCCACCACTGTTGTGGGGGAAAGAAGCAGACAGGAGCTAGGTAAACATCCCCACATACTCTGAAGCATTAATTGGAAGGACCCAGAGTGACCCCACATTGCTCAGTCTTACCAGGTGGGCAGACGCCACAAGAGGCAGGTGGCCCCTCAAGTAACCAGGCCCTGTGCCAGGAAGGGTTTTCTAGGTGATACCCAGTGCCTTGAATTGCACTCGGAAGCAACCAATGAAGCTTGCAGAGCATTGATGACGCATGAGGTGCCCCCATCACTGCCTGTAACCTCTGCATGTTGGACAGCTGTAACTGCTGGGTGGTTTTCAAGGGCAGCCCTACGTGCAGCGAATTGCAGCAGTCCAGTTTTGAGGGGATGACAGCATGAGTGAGTGTCTGAAGAGCCTCCTGGTTGAGGAAAGGGTACAGCTGGCATACAAGGTGAAGGCTGTCCTGGCCACAGCTATGAGTCCAGCAGGACCCCCAAGTCGTGCACTAGTCTCAAATGGGGAAGTGCTACCCCATCTAAATTCCCAGATCTAGGGGTCCCAACAGCTACTGCCATTTGATCTTGGTAGGACTGAGTCTGAGTCTGTTCCTCCCTATCCAGACAGCCTCCAGACACTGGGTTAGGACATTGACATCTAACAAGCCCCCCCCCACACACATACACACAGACACGCACACACACTTTAAAATGATAATTCTTCTGTCACTTTTTTGCAAGTGTGGATGTTCTCCCCTGACTGGACAGTAGGAGATGGGTCCGTGATGGCACAGGCCCAAGGCAGTAGACCTTCAGGTGTAGCTGGCCCTTCCCTGGCTCATTGACATCCAGATCTTATTTGGACAGGAAAAAAAAGTGACTTCATTAACAATTATGTTGCCCATGGAGGCATGTCCTCCTCTCTTCAAAATGGCATATTTCATGGCTATAAAATGGAGCTGAAGAGTTGCCATCCAATACTGACTTTTTGAAGTGACCAGTTATGGTATAAGATGTCAGTCGGCAGCTGCTTTTCAATTCTTTTAAATTGCAGCTCTTTTCCACTTAAACTATTTTTTTATTTCAGATCATACCTGGTTTATCTAGTTGATTCAGGTCTAGATTATTCCTACCTGAGGCCTACTCATCAGTAGCTTTCCAAAAACATTGCTGCACAATTTCCAACTTCCAACTATTAATCCGTTGGGCTTTCTCCTATAATTCCAAAGTCTACTCAGGATGGAATTGCAGGTTTTGTAGTTCATCACATCTGGAGATGACCAGATTGGGGAAATGTACATTGCTGTCTGATGCAGGAAGATCTGGAGATAGCGTTGACCATCTGCTGATAGTGGAGAACATTCTCCTTCTTGGAAAGCTGTATCTCTTGTCTCATTATTTTTTCCCAATACTTTGCAGGCACAAGTTTATTGCAGGAAGTGGTATATCTTGTGAGCCAAGGAGCTGATCCTGATGAAATTGGATTAATGAACATAGATGAGCAGCTTCCAGTCTTAGAATATCCTCAACCTGGACTGGACATTATCAAGGTACAGCTGAATCCTCCAGAACTGGGTTCAGCTTTTGGAATTATGTTATTGATGCTTGGCTGAGTTTTTGCTTTCAAGCCCTGTTTGATTCCTCGGTGTATTGGAATAATGCATCATGTATGAGTTTTGTGGTTTTAATGCTTTCAGATGGTAGACAGCTTCTTATATGTTTCAACAAATGTGGAGGGCTCTCTCTGACAATTTTTGTTCTAAAGGTAATTTTGCTTGTTGCAAAGAGAACCAGGACATCAAAACTTGAGTGATTAAAAAAAAAAAAGATTTTGCCTACATCTCAAAATTTAAAATTGGGCAGGTCATCATTTCCTATTACTTCTCAGCTTTGAAGAATTAAAACTAATTTATTTTGATTGCAACTTAGGCCTATTATTTGATAAGCCTAAGTTGCAATCAAGTAATTCCATTGTCTTTTGTGCTTAAACTTGTGGTTAAGGACTTTTTCACTGCAGTTGCTATAGCTCAGATCAACAGGACATGAACTCCAACAATTCTGGAGCGGGGAAGGTCTGATGTACCGGCTGTTAAAGGCATCCTCATTTCTGACAGCTCTAACTTCTTCTCAGTGTGCACTCTCCCCTTCACACTTTATCCAAGATAAGAAAAATAAATTCCCACCCCAACCACGTGGACTATCTTGCCAGCTTTTGATAAAATGCAAAGCTCTCTAAGGCTTACATTTAAATCTAAATTTTCATTTTTACTTCCTCTTTACTTCCATAATATTTATTTTGAGGATTAGGCTACCTTCGGTAAGTAAAGATGGAGACTTAAATTTCAAATCTAATCCATCATGAAAGAGCAGAATCCAAGATATTTGTCTGGGACTTAGAAGACTTACCATGATGCACCCTTATGATCTTCGGGGTGCTTGCAAGAGAACCTTTCAAGGTCTGCGCTGTGAGGCAGGAAGTCTGGAGCAAAGGAATAAAGCAAAGACAGTGATGGTAGGGAGAAGCCTTTTGGGTTTCCAAATCAGGGATAGACCTTTTGGGTTCCAAACCTCTTGCAAGGCTCAGTCATCATGGAACCCATATAGTGAAGAATAAGCATTCTTAATTCTTTTATTTTTGCACTGAAGCACAGAATGGGGTGGTGATATCTGTAAGCCAGGAGGAATTAGCTAAGTGGTGAAGAGATAGGGATGTTGGGTGTTACATCAAAGGCCCTGGAGGTCCATGGATTTTCCAGCCTGCTGTAGAGATGGGGTTGCTTTTCAGAGGGTAAGATTTCTTTGAACTGAGCTCAGCTCCTCAACCACATCTGTGTGGTTTTCCTAACAACAACATGGACGCAGTTTGCTCCTCCCAATGTTTTTCCAACTTCCCAGTTTAGTCTATAACTCTGGGATTTCCTGGTTGGTCTCCCTTCCAGGTGTTAACCAAGTGTGACCCAGCTTAGCTTTCCAACATCAGCAAGAGTCAACCCAGAGGTGCCACTGGTTTAGCAAAAGGAAAGGTTGCCTTGAGCTGGGCTCAGGTCCCAGTGATTATGTTCTAAGAGGGCAGAGTTTAAGGACAGTTGTGGCTCTGAGATTTTTCAACCTCACTTCTTGGGCCAAAATTTAATATTGTATTTAAATTATGACAGGCATTTTAATTCTTAGATATTAGAAGCGTCAAAGTAACACACAATTTAGGATAGAAAAGAATAGGTGAATGTCTTTCTAATGTTTCAGTTTGGCATTGACGTTAGGTCTGGAAACTCAACATTTAAACTCTTTCTAACTAAGATAAGGAGAGTCGCTTTCCTTTGTCAGAGAACAAGATCGCAAACATAATGAAACCAGATTCCTCCCATAAGAGGCAAACCCTTTTCTTTTGAGAGAGACATTATATAATGGAGACTTTTTCCTTTGGGGTCTTTGACCTTTCAGTGTACTAGAAAATGAATAAAAAGCCCTACAGTGAGTCATGTTTTCTTAGAAGTGAATCCAGTCCTGCCCAACGGTGCTTTCTCTTGGGTAAATATTTAATTCAGAATTGCCAGCCTAAATTGTCGAAGTGACCGTGACTGGGAAGGGAGATTGACGTCTCTCCAGGGGATTAATGATTGCCATTTAAAATCAGAGACTTGTAGATTTGTAAGCAGTCTTGGAGGCCATCAGTCCCATCCAGATGGCCCTTCCCTCCTCTGTCTGAAGTCCTCTGCCACAGCAGATCACACAGCAGTATATCCTACTGGCTGACCATTGTACAGTCAGGAAGGTCAAACCTGAACCTCCTTCGATTGATTCTCGGACCCCCTGATTACATCCTGGTTCCTCTGTGTTACCTTCTGTATGACAACCCTTCAGGTATTGGAAGGCAGCATCCGTATCTCTCCTCAGCTGCCTGTTTTGAAAACTGAGCACACCAAGATCCTTTAACCATTCCTCAGAAGACTTGATTTCCAAACCTTCCACCATTTTTATAGCCCTTCTCTAAACTGCAGTTTCTCAGTGACTTCTTTGGACCCTGAATGCCAAGCGGGATCTGACCAGGACAGAGTTGAGAGGAACGATTGCTTCCCGTGACTAGGACTCCGTGCTGCAGTTATTGCACCACAAGAGAGCATTTGATTTTTTACTGGCTGCATCACACTGCTGGCTCATGCTTGTGGTTGACAAGGATACCCAGATCCCTTTCACATGTATTGCTGCCAGGCTGCGCCTTACCCTTTTCCTGCCCACTTCCAAACTTTCCACTTCTGCTTGTTAAATGCATCTGATTCATTTCAGTCCATTGCTGAAGCCTATCTAGGCCCTTTCCAGTCTTCCAACTAGAATATTAGAATTACCCCTCCCAGCTTTGGGTCATCTACAGATCTGATAAATGTCCCCCAAGTCCCTCCTCCAAGTCGCCTGTACAGATGTGTTCCTGCTGGGTGACAGTCACACTGGTGTTGGTACGCTGCTCTTTCACATGGGCTGATGCTCAGACCTGGCTCTAAGCTGTTCTGGCAGGTCAGAAGGGGAAAAATGATATTTCTTTGGGTGGATGGGTAGACGGGAATCTCTAGCAAGGTGCTGATGCCACGGCTGTCTCGAGACTTCACAGCTTAGGCCAGTCTTTCTCAAACTTGGCAGCTTGAAGTGGTGTGGATGTCAACTCCCGCTGGCTAGGAGTTGAAGTCCACACCTCTTCAACACCTGCCATGTTTGAGAAACGCTGGCTTAGACCCTTCAACTCCCCCAGATACGTGCAGTTCCTCCACCGGGAAAAAGTGCAATCCCTTTAGTGCTTGTTACTTCCTTGTTACCTCTTTTTGTTTCATATTTTGGGGGGGACGTGTTTGCGCGGTTGACGATGCTGGTCTTTGACCGCCGCGAGCCCTAATGTTCTTCCCTGCATGTTGCAGGAGCTGACCTCTCCTCGCCTGATCAAAAGCCACCTGCCGTACCGCTTCTTGCCTTCCGACCTGCACAGCGGGGAATCCAAGGTAGCCCTCGCCGGCCGTCTGCGTGGCCTGCCCTCTGCAGGTTCTCTGAGCTAGGGAGATGGGAAGGAGGGAGCACCCTGCCCAATGAATCCCTTTTCTTCTCCCTAGATCATATACATGGCTCGCAACCCCAAAGACCTGGTCGTATCTTATTACCAGTTTCACCGCTCCCTGCGAACTATGAGCTACAGAGGGACGTTTCAGGAGTTCTGCCGGAGATTTATGAACGATAAGTGTAAGAATTTCCCGTCTCTTCTGCTAGGCAGCATCTTTGACTCTGCTTTACAACCCACAGGAGCCACAGGACATGTGGCTTGTGGCTTTACTTGCCATCTAAGGCAGTGCTTCTCAAGCTCAGCAGCTTTAAGGTGGGTGGACTTCAACTCCCAGAATTCCCCAGCCAGCCCTGCTCTAAGGGATGAGGAGAGAGACTCCTGTTCTCCCCTGGGCTCTGAGGACATGAGGTGCTCTGACTCAGCAGGGTAACCTCTCCAGCCTCAAGGGCTAAAAGGAGCATTGGGTGGCAAATTACAGATTGGGCAAGCATAGTTGGCTACGTACATACTTAAGACACCATAGAATCACCGGAAGAGGGTTAGGAGTATCTTGGAGGGGGTCAAAATCTTCAAGAAGGCAGGCACCATGTCACTATCAAAGCCCTGCCAGTTTTGTACGATGCACTCCTGTACAAAAGGGGAGGCTTTGATTGTGGCACCACGCCCACCATCTGGCAGATTTTGACTCCTTCTTTAGATGACCCTGAGAAGATGACACTTGACTGCTATCGCTGTTTCCTCATGAGGAAACAATCATCCTGTCCAGGAGAATCTCCCTCCCTGTGAACCTCTGCAGATAAAGCAGTAGATCGGAGCAGGAATGACCCCTGCAAGGCCCTCTGATCCTGCTTCAGAGCACTTCCTCTACTGCAGGTTAGCAGTTCATTAGCTGGATGGCAGGGAAAAGTGGGTTGGGGTTCCTTGAGGCACAAAAAGATTGCCTCCCCCAACCTTGACTTGGGTTGAAGACCTCATCCTGGGGAAGGAAGTCTAAATGGTGGGCTTCTCTTCTTTTAGGAAGCGGGAAAAGCCATACCCTTGTCAGTTGACCCCAGTGATGCACACAACACCGTGCCCTCCTTGGAAGCCCATGAACGGTCCAAGATGACCTTATTATGCTGCGATGATGGGAGTAAGGCCAGCTGGAGTTATTTTCTTCAGCTGGGTTTTGTTAGGGATAAAGCAGTCCCATTTTGAAAACAAAGCAAAAACATAAATGCAACGAAATGAGTTTTTTATTCCAGTGGAACTTTGGCCAGTGGCAACGACAACAATCATCATTTTTTATCTTGGGTATTAGCTATTGTGTTTCCTGTCTCTACAGTGGGTTATGGTTCATGGTTCGAACATGTCCAGGAATTTTGGCAGCATCATATGGATTCCAATGTGCTCTTCCTCAAATATGAAGATATGCATAAGGTAATAATCCAAGCGTATCGAAGATTTCCCCCCAAACCTTTAGCAGAGAGGTATTTTTTCCCCTGGTTCCTTTGAAGCAAGATCACAAACTTGGCAGGGGACAGAGATGGGGGCTGGGGAGAGTGGTCCCCTCTTGGAATTTAATTTTGGTTAAATAATATCACTCACCATCCAGCAAGGTTTTATGATTTTCAGTGCCAGGAGCTTTTGTCTGATAAGCTGTTGGTTCCTGAACTATCAAACAAATAAGTTAATCGATTTAACAAAATAAAATGAAGTATGTGATTTGATGGTTTTTTCCCCCTCCTTTGTTAGGGTATAACTTTCTGCATTTTAATTTTGATTTTAGCTTCTGGACTTGTTCAGTGGTTCTAATAGGTTATGCTTTGCTTCCATTTTAGTCTGCTTTTAGGAATGGTTATTTTGATTCAAAAGGTTGTGATTCCTTGCAATTTATGAAAATGCCTTTGGGTGGTTTTTATAAAAACAAAAATGCAATAAATGGAAGGAAATAGACTTAAAAGTCTGCACGGAGCCACAGAGGGAGCAAAGAGCGGGAAGAAGACACATGGTTTTTTTAGAAAGATAGTTCAATCTGGTGCTGCTTCCACAATGAAATGGCAGTTGCCTGTGTGCAGTTCCTAACCCCCAAAGTTCGACAGCCAAAGACCGTGGGGACAGAGATTGTAGAAGTTCGTGTTTATTATTTGTTTGGGGAGAGGCTCTAAAGTCAGCTGTTTGCTCCTCAGAAGACTTGCAAATAGATGACTTGTGCATAAGTCAATGACATCACCGTTTGGGGAGCATTGACAAAGTAATGGGGCTTTTTAGCAGTCGCAGCTGCATGTGATCCTGTTTCCATGGCAGTCAAAGTTCCAAAAGTGGACGCAGGCAAAATGTGCCAGCTTAAAACAGCCCATTCCAGCTTCAATGGAAGGGTTCCTCTGTCAACGCAGGCATCTCCCAGCCTCAGTCTTGCTGTTGGGGCATTCCACTTTGAGATCATTTCTGGTAAAGTTGGAAGGAGAACTTCCAATGTTGCAACTTCAGCTGAGGTTGGAACAGCTTCTTGCTTGGCATAACCCTTCTGAGACCAAACCGGACAATTCAGGATCAGAACATTTCAGGAAGTTTGGCACACACCTCTGTCCTGATTTAAGATATAAAACAAGGAATGATTGACATATGTGTGAAGCTGCTATTCCCAACCCTCTATCAATATTTTTGTGGCAATTGCTGGTAACGGGAATATATTTTTTGAACTCCGTTGCTTTTGACCCGTTTCTTCTTCTCTGCTGCTCTGTATCCTCTTTTTTCACAGGATCTTGCAACCATGGTTGAACAACTAGCGAGGTTCTTGGGCATCGCCTATGACAAGGCACAGTTGGAATCGATGGTTGAGCATTGCCACCAGCTCATTGATCAGTGCTGCAATGCAGACGCCCTTTCTGTGGGCAGGGGTACGTGCGTCCAACGCTTTGCAAAGTGGAACGAGCTTGGTGGTAATCCACTTTCATGGCACTTCTGGGGGCGGAGCGCATAGTAGCTGCCCTTCTTCAATGATAATTGGTTACAGTATTTTGAAGACAAAGCATTGGGCCATAGATCTAGAACGTGGTGGTTCAGTCTGTCCGGAGCTAAAAAAATCAGAGGGTAGATGGGAAGAAGGTGCATTTCCTGATCACGGAAGGCTATCATTCAGGATGCCTCTAAGTTCTGTGGGGCTTTTAAAATAGTTTTTGTTTAACTTCAGGGGATTTAAAACATGCAGCTGTTATCGCCAGAAGAGTCATAATCCAAAGCTCTGAACGTGTAGATATCTGCCTCCTCCCCAGCCTCAGCAACTCCCAGAACTCCACAGATCTTAAATCTGCTGAGGCTGGGAAACACTGGTATAGATTAAAGATACGGGGCAGAGGAAACAAGTATCGAGTCTCTCTGGCTGGAGGTGGCCAGCTGGACATTCTGTTTATGGTCTTGTTAGAGGACCAAAGAGGTGTGAACCATAGCCACTCGTGGATGTGAGGATGCTGCTCTGCGAATGTGCGCCTCCCTCCTGCTTTTAAACTTTTAAACCATTCCTTCCCTTTCCATGGGATCAGAGGGCTTCCATGTATAAAATTCAGTGAACTGCTGCTCTGACAGCCCTTCGAGGTAGGCTGGGTCAGGAAAGAGATGCCCCAAGAAACACTAGAACTTTTTATTGAGATAAACTGTAGTAACAGAATCTTGAAAGCCTGGCAGGGTCTTCCCTCCCTCCCTTTTATACCAAAAAGAGTCAAAGTGAGGCTATCTTGAGTTTCTTTCTCACCTGTTCCTGTTTCTTCTGGGCTAAATTCATTATTTCCCAATGACCACCACATATCTTCTTCTCTGTCCTCCCCTATATGCTGTCTCAGCTAGTTTGTGCCAGAGGCCTCACTATCCCGCTTACTTATTTATTGGTGCTGCATAAAAGGTTGCAAATCTGAAACGTTTCAAGCTTCAGTCGTCCCATTTCGAGCTCGCGTGGAGCTGTTTTGAGCTCAGAAGTTTTCCACCATGTGGGTACCCTTGCATAGAGGTTGGGGCTTGAAGGGACTGCTTTGAGAGGAAAAGAGGTTTGTGCATCCACAATGCTTGTTTGTTTTTCCCACAGACGTCTATAAAACCAGTTTATCAGAAATAGTCTCAGTGATGGTATAATCATAGTTCCAGGAGTGTCCATGTGGGTGCAATGCATTGATAAAGGGGGAGGGCTTTGATCACACAGGCATGGCCACCCCCCACCCCCCAACAGATGCCCTGTTGGCTCCGTTTATTCCACCTACTTTCCTCTCAAAACCAAAGTTAACCAAAACACGGAATTGCCAGCAGTCTTTGTTCTCCTTCATTTGGCCCTGAGCAACGTACACTAACCTCAAAAATGAACGCCATGTAACTTGGATATTTCCCCCCCCGCCCCAAATATTCAGATCCGTGGCATTTGTTCATCGCCTGCATTTTGCGTGCACACGTTTGCTTCCTGTTTAATTTTGTCCATCTTTCTGACATTTGTAATGGTTTCCTTTTCTTTTTTTCCCCCAAACGCATCCTGAACGCCAAGGTGTTTTTCTTGCTCTTTCGTTCAATTTAATTCCATGATTTAAAAAACGGTGGCAGTATAACTTTTTAGTTTAACTTAGTTTAGTTGATCATCGTGTACGTTTCCTTGGTTTATTTTGCTTTACTTTATTCATTTTTATTTGTTTTCCTTTTAGCGTGTTGATCTATGCCCGGAAGCTCATCCTCAATTGCTGGGAAAACCGGATCTGGTTAGCTCATTTTCCTTCCCCTGTCACTCCCAAATCAGTTTCATGAATCAAATCGTGAATGAACCCAGGTGGGTGACCCTCGGACCCGCTGTCCAAAATAGCTGCCAGAAAGTAGAACAGCGCACCGTAGTTGCAACTTATTACAAGGGCGACGCATGTTTTGGGAATAGATCCGAACTCTGCTTTGATATCTGCACATCAGCTGTGGCTCAGTGTGGTTTATAAACCCTTAATGAGCTTAAGAGCAGGTATCAGGAAAGTTGCAAAGAGGGCAGCAGGCGTCTTGCTAGCTATCTCCAGGCTCACTGATTTTCCATCTCTTGGAGGTTTTTCTTAAATGTGTCAGCCCTTGGAGACATGCCAGGCAGGAAGCAGACCCCACACAAGGACCGCTGGAACTCTGCTTCATTGTTCAAGGCAGGGTTCCTCAACCTTGGCAACTTTAAGACGGGTGGACTTCAACTCCCAGAATTCC